GAACATAAATAAATAAATAAATAAATAAACAGGCAGGCAGGCAGGCAGGCAGGCAGGCAGGCAGGCAGGCAGGCAGGCAGGCAGGCAGGCAGGCAGGCAGGCAGGCAGGCAGGCCTTAAACTTTACCTTTAGATTATGTGATAAAATTTTGTTGGAAAACATTTTCTTTGAACCTTTCTTCGAGCAATTTGTCCGTATTCATCCATCTGACTAGTAAACATACAGATTTATATAAGGCCTGTTATCATCATATATATATTTTTTTTATTTAGTTGGCCCGATGATTTTGTTTTATACTATTTCATTTTTATGTGGTAGGGCTCCTGACCATGGGAACCTTAAACCTTAAGGCCCCGGTTCATCGAAGCGCATGCTGAACCACAGGTAGTTACACCTCTGGTTATACTCGAAAAAACGTGCTGAGAACGTAATGTTAATTATAAGATTATGTGATATTTATAGAGGTTTGTTGGAAATTCAGATCAAGACACTAACGTGACAAACATATTCCCTGACCCTGTCTACGCCCAATTCGTCCGTATTCATCCAGTTGACTGGCATGGCTATATAAGTTTACGATTTGAGGTTCTTGGATGCTCAGCAGGTAAATAAAAATAATATACCAATTAGATTTAAATTAAAAATTGAGTAGTAATAATGGTAATGACAATGATAGTGATAATAAATGCTTGTTTATATTTCCATAGAAAACAATAAAAGCTAAAAGTATTAAATTGTTCATAAATATACGTAATACAGGAAATAAGAGAAGTATTTACACTGGCACGATTTTATAACGAATTATTGTGTATGCGATAACAACACATTTTAACAAACCAATTCAAAAAATGTCATATTCATGAAAAAACGATAAAATCGTCGTTACTACTTCGGTTTTATCGTCTTTCTATAATTATGGCGCCATTTCAACATTTGTCATAATATTTGTTATTATATACACGATAAATCGTTATTGAATCGTCCTAGTGTAAAGACTCTCTTATTTCTTTTGTTTTCTATGAACAATTGCTTTTTAGCACATGATCGTTATCGTTGCAAGTATAAACAGGCCTTAATGACAACTATGGCATTATATTGTGATTATAATTTACGGTAATGATGTTGAAATTATTGATTATGAACACTAATGAATTATTAAAATGCAAAAGTATTATTCAAATGTTAATATGTCTTAAACGTTTATTACAATATATTCAATTTTCTTTTGTCTGAATCACAGCTTGTTTTGGTGATCAGACGTTACGAATTAGTGTAAAAAATCGATATAAAGAAGACAGTCTTACAGTATAACTAGGCCTAATTGTATTTACTATACCACTGTAAATTTGTTTTGTGTAGGTCTAATGAGCTCAGAGTTGGGTGGACGCTCCACTTATTACAAGTCTTTTCGTCGCAATCCACAATGTTCTGTAACGACCAAAAACTCGAAAAGAAGTTGCATTAGATGCGCTGTGAAATGCATGAGGGCGCTAGGATGCAAGTATTTCAAATACGATGGAGAATGCCACATTTATACCTGCAGTAACAATGACTATTTTGTTGCCTTTCAGTATAATGGTTAAAATTGGCCTTTCCCTCGGATATTGTTGCTAGGATGTGAAAGATTTAAACGTACGCGTGTTCATGGATATACGTATATCTGCCTTGTCCTTATTAGTCAGTCGCTAACTTTGATCATTCCAGAAATGTTTATTAAATTTCTTAGATCAATGCATGCTTTGTATTTGTTGCAATAATCTTCATTCTTCAAAAACCGATGAAGTCTTGACTAAATGAAGCTGTGTGTGTAGTAATTTTAGTACAAATTCGTTCATTATTTTTATTGGAACTCATAAAGTGGTTCGTGTTTGTAATTTGTACTGGATGATTTTGGTATTAAGCAAAAGTATAGGACCTTCTTAGTCAGAGCTAACGCTTTATGTAGGACATCTTCAAAGTGTTCCGCAGAAATTAAATGTTTAGGACATAATTATTGCGTAAACGGTTCCTCTATGACTATATAAATTACTTTAGTGAGGCTCTATCAGAAATACTTAGTCATAATTACCTTTGGGTCATTAAAAAAGAACTACTAATATTTATTTAATGTTGGAGCCTGTAACTTTATTCAATAACATCCCTTCATGCTATGTAGACTGGATAAAATATATACACAATTTTGTGAGCAGATTTTGTGCTGGAAACTGTATAATCAAATCTATTGTTCACTGTGCTCTTCCTCCCTCACTAATTGGCGATGGTGTAAACTAATTTATTTGTACTGTAATTTAAAATTTTCTTGTTAATTGTGGGGAATATAAAGTATACATATGCTTTCTTCTATTAATTTATAGGTCTACTTTTTTTTATATAATGCTATTTATATATGCATTAAAGCGATAAATGGATAATTTTAATCTTAGTAATATGTATTTTATTCAACATACTAACGGTTTGAATGAATGTATTTTAATGTAGATTTAATTGAAGTATTTTGTAAATTGAAAATTTGATTTTGTTTAATATAATCGTGAAAATAGAATTATTTTGCAAAACATAACACATCATAGATTAGAATGCTATGCTCCAGCACTTAAATATTGTGGCTAAGGTTCAACTAAACGACAACGTGAAACATGCAAAAACACGTGCGTTTATTGGACAACGTCGTGTTTGTAAGCACGTTCGTATTCCTGGCCCTAATTGGTCAGTTGGTAAGATTGGGTGACATTCCGGAAATGTCCAAAGTGTAAACAATAGAATATAATGTTGGTGTAGGTATACTTGGTGAAGAGCAAGTAGGATTTAAGGACATTTACTCCACTAATGATAAAGTGTTTGTACTCCGTTCCATACTTGAATTATAATATATATAATATAAAAAAAACATAAGCGGTTGTATTGCACTTTTATCGATTACAACTTAGTGTTTGACCTGGTTGACCGATTATCTCTATAGAGTAAACTAATATTATGTGGTATAAATGGTAAAGTCATTCATGTCTTTTATAATTTGTCTGCTAACACGAAGTTATGTGTCAAACAGATTGGTGTGATATCCGAATTTTTTCATGTAATGTTGGAGTGCACCGAGGAAAAATTTATCTCCGCTTTTATTTGCTATTTATCTTAATGACTTCGAATTTTTTTGTTAGTCGTTATTATAAAAGTTTGGATCACTTAGCTAATGAATTAAATAATGTCTTAAGTGATGATGATGTAGAAGAGTTCCTCAGACTATATGTGCTATTGTATGCAGATCATACAATTATTATTGTCCGAAAGTCACTCAGAACTCTAGAAAGTATTAAGTATGATTACTGCGACATGTGGAAGCTCACAGTCAATACGAGTTAAACAAGGATTATAATTTTTTCAAGGGTTCCATGGTAGGGTTCAAAATACTCCAATTTTTATGTTTGGAGATAAAAAAAAAAATAGAAATTATAGATGATTATGTCTATTTAGGTACAACATTTAATTTTAATGGAAAATTTTAAAAAGCCATTGATAAACAAGTAACACAGGCAATGTACAGCGTGATAACTCAATATACAATTAAGTCTACCGTTAAGCATTCAGTGTGAACTGTTTGACCATAGAGAAAAAAGAACAGTTCTATTTTCTCTATGGTTTGACCAGCTTGTTTTGCCTATAATTAGTATATGGTTTTGAAGTCTGGGGATTTAAAAAACTAGATCAGATCGAGGCTTTTTACACGACCAGGGTTTATAAATGTCATAATGGATTGTAAAATAAAAGACACTCTATGACTATGATAACTTTGATAACTTCAATAAAAAGTTGATAGCAAATAGTAGGCATATTAATCTCCGATTTAGTGATATCTCAAAACAGGAATGGCTGCACGAAGTTAACACAAATAGAAAGTGTGAAAATCATAGATCCTTTTAAGTGTGATCTCGAATCTGATCTTTGTAGGTGTGATGATCAAGCTACAAATTGTACTCTGTGTAATCAAAATAATACCGGAAATAATTCCATTATTTATTTGTTTGCCCTACACTAATTAAGAATGTATTTAAAAATATCATTACGCTAGATACAGTGCACTAATTATTTAATACCAGATCAAAAAACAGCTCTCAAAACTTGCTCAATTTAATCACAAGATATCGTGTTTGTTTGTCTATAATAATTATTGTTTTTACTTAGCTTTATTATTGTTATTGTTAACTTTATTAGTCATGCAGTGTAAGCTGACCGCTTATTTTGTATGTTCGCACGAGAAATAATGTTCTCTCATACCCCGAAAGGGGTCGAATAAGAAATAAAGTTGTTGTGATTTGTCATTGATATTGTACTTGTTGATAGTAATTTAAAATTTGAAGAGCCTGTAAATAATATTTATAATTGATAAAACAGGAAGCAGTGAAATTACATGAAAACATCTCGAACCGAACATCAAAAGTTATAACCCCGCGATACCGCCGTTTTCTATTACATAATCAACTGATAAACAAGTTACAACTAATTACGATAAGTAAATTGTTTTGCGCATGCTAGCTATTGTGTAAGTACACATCCACTTCTCCTGCATCGCGTTCTTATAGTGATCTCTCAACGTCATGCCATACTGCCTTAATTATATACAGGAATGACGAATGTACATCGCGACAATTTTTTTTTTTAATATTTTGCAAATACGCGCGATGACGAGTCCATATTCCATTTTAAAATACCAATCAAACAATACATCTAGAGTGTCAGCTTTTTAAATATCAACTGTTTGACCTGCATACAAGGAAGGTGAATGTAACGTGTATTTCAGGTATCGTAGGCCTAAGTGGCTTATTGGCTGAGAAATTATGTTTTTTATTTTTTTTTTCATACAGTTAAGGCAGAAATTATAAAGGGCGCTAATTTAGGTCAGATTTGTGAACTGATACACATAATTATGCATGCTCGACCGCCCCTTGTGAATGGTGAAACATAGTTCAGTGGTGTACCTAGTAAGCTTCAGGGCTTATGCGTGGATGAATGCTACGGCGTATGCCAAAAGCTCTTAAATATGCCTTGGCAGTCAAAAAAGTGTAAAAATTAATGGATTGTAAATGTAAAATGTCCGTATGACTAGACACAGTATGTATAGCAATAAAAATAATGTTTCTAGCCGTAATTATGTGTAATGGAGTGTATCTGGTGGTATTTGAGTCTGTTCAACCATGAAGCCTCCGTGGTCTAATGGTTATGACGCTCGCCTTGACAGCGAGATGTCACAGGTTCGAGTCCCGCAAGAGGTATTTTATAACACAATTTCTTTATTCATTTATTTACAGGACTGCATTCGTTAAGAACTATGCTACACGATGTATTATTATGTCCTTTATTCTAACACTGTATTTACCTTCCTTTCATGATTATATATATATATATATATATATATATATATATATATATGCTTACGATATAAATATAGGCCTATACTTCTATTCATATTGTATATAAACGAAAAGTCCAATTGCGTATGTTTTTCAAAGGGATAATGTATATTTTTCTTAATAGTAATATCAGATTTGCTGTATTTATTTATTGACAATTCAATCGTTTCAATTTCTGCTATAATAGTCGGCAACTTATTTGACACCGCGAAGCTAGATTTTCGCGAAGTGAATGTAAACAACACAATCTAAAAACTGTTAAAAAGATGAAATATACAATATTTAAATGAGCATTTTAACCTCCCTGCTGATAACAAATTTATTCTATTAAATATATATATATATATATATATATATGTATATAGCTCTCTCGCCAGGATTTTTTTAAGAGTGGCGGAATTTCAGAAATTGTTGTTTAAAAACTTTAAAGGGTGGTGCACAAAATTTTAAAGGGTGGATACATTTTTGGTACTACTTATCGTGTCGGATAGGACGCGGCATGACCCGTGTCCCATAATTTAAATTTCATTTACAAGATACATTTTAATTTTGCAATGCAAACAATATATGTACACTTAAATTATGAAGAAACGGAAACAATTCATCAAAACTAATACAGAACCTACAAGACGGAGTATGTTATATATACAAAGATGCGTACACTATTAATGTTAATCTGGATAAAGATTTGAACACACTTCCCATCCCCTTCCCGGAAAAGAAGCCTCCCATCTTGGTTCAATCTCCAGTAGGTCGAGTATTGCGTGGTCAGGAGCTATAAAATTTAATGTTATAATTTTGTAATCATGGTCGAGTGCATGTTGGCTGCTGTGTTAAATAATAATATGATACTTTGAAGTGGTAATTATTAGTTGTGTAAAAATAGTTTTAAAAATAATAGAAATCAACAACACTGTTGTTCCGACCGCAGTCCATCACGTATAATATACGGTAATTCGCAGGAACAGCTGCTCTCCCAAAAAAATCACTCTCCAATATTAGGAGAGAAAATAGGGTCATGATCCTGTGAAGATTCTGGGTAATGATGCAATGTGCAAATCAATGAGTTAGTGGGGATATATCATTTTCTTTTCTCACTTACTTGTCCTTAAACCATAAATGATATTTTTACCAATGTCCGACGATAGTGTTCATTTTACTAGGGAGAACTAAAATTTCATTTTAATACCAAGCCAAAATTCAGTATAAAAAACGTGTTTCATAAGAAATTCACGTAAATGCAATTGACAAATGTTGTTTTATCAAACACCATTCATAAAAAACGGACATTTCACAGAATATTGCAATCGTCATGTATGTACGTTACTGAACGCACCCTATCTACTGGCCGACCAGGGAGCGCCCTGAGTTCACAGGTACCTACTTGCACACACAGGCGTCGTACATAGGCATACAAGACGTCAGCAACACCGAAGAACCTACAATGAAACACCATACTCTGGACGCAACTATCGTAATGGTAATACTTCATATCGTAAGGGAAACTAAACACTCGAGCATACTCCAGCTTCAACAGGAACGTACATGCAAGTTCCAGGGGTGGCGCCAGGGTTTGCCCGACGGGGGGGGGGGAGAAGGTCCCCGAAGGGGAGCCCATGCCCCCTACGAGGGGTCAGATTTTCCAGACGAAAGCAATGTGGGCGTGGTCGAGCTTCGATTAAAATGTTCCGAAAGTGGCCCGGGGGGGGGACAAGCCCCCGAAAATGTTAACAATTAGGGGTTTCAAAGGCTTATTTAATCGATTCTACTGATGTAGAAAATACATATAATTTTTTTTCCCCGACGAATTGTGCTTTTTCTCCCCGACTGGGGGGGGGGGGTAAACTTCAGAGATAATTCAAATATGACAACCTTAAATTGCACTATATTTTGTGAGGGCACGGTGGTGCAGAGGTTAACAAAAAAGCACAATTGATTACATGATGTGCTCTACGAATATTAATTATGCTAGCATACAATTGATGAAGATAGAAACCTTAGTACCGGAAGTGATCATAACACCTAACTGACCCTATTCCTTGCAATGTTCCAATTCAAGCTCTCTGTAATGTTGACTTTGGCATTGAATCTGTTAAAAAGGTATATCTCTCCTAATAAATCTGCAGGCTGACTCCATTCACTCCTAATTCTTAAATCTGCCTCTGAATTCATTTCCCATCTCTTTTCTCATCCCATTTTCCCAAACTTTTTACCTTGTCTTTGAATGAAAGGATTCTTTCCCATGCATGGAAGATCGCTCACATAACACCTGTCTACAATTCTGGAGATAGGTCGCTTATTTCTAATTACAGACCTATTACCTTAACCTCATTAAAAAAAATCTTTTATTTTGTTATTTCTTATAATTTACTTCTGAATTTTCCTGTATCTGATGCTCAACATGGTTTTTTCCCCTTCACACTCATGTGCCACTCAACTTAACAACCTTACCCATGCCTGGAATGCTCTTAATAAACCTACCACTAAGAATTGAAGTCGTGTTCTTAGATAACGCCGTCATTTGACAAACTTGTCCCTCATGTTGCACTTAAAATAAACTTTTTTTGGATTTGTAGGCAATTTTTTAAGCCCCCATATTATATAGCTCATTTACTCAAAACTGGCTTGTGCGACAACTTAACCCCTTCCCTTTTGTCTTCAGTCACAGTGTGCACTCTTTTACCGATGACACTGTCATCTCCGCGTAGCACAAATTAAGTTAAATCATGTGTTTAGAACTTTGAATGATGCATGTCCAGAACAGTAACGGCAGCGGGGCTTAAGTCCCCACCTGATAGGTCAAGCCCCACCCACCCACGTCGGACAGAGCTCGTTGGGCAGTCAGACCATAAACAATATAAAAATAGGCCCACACCAAGCCAACACGTGTCTGTCACAGTCTGAGAGTGCCATTTCCGGCCATCCATAGGTTGATATTCTTAAAAAATCTCATTTGGAAGGGGAACACTGTCTCAGCCCCTTCAATTCCCCAAGCTCAGGCCTACGATCTCAAGTCCCCCTGTCGGACAGCTTAGCCCCTCTAGAAAGTATATCCTAGAGCCGCCACTGATCCAGAATATTTGAAAGAAGGGATTTAATATACATAATTATAACACAAGATTTGCTTCTTTTTTTAATTTTTAGTGATAAACAGGGTAAAAATTTTAAATCCACTTTTTTGTCTACAACCATTTGCCCTTGGAACTTGCTACCTAATCCAA